GCTGCACATGTTACATATCGCCGCGAACGTCGGAGTGAGAGCAATAATGTTTGGGCCATCAATCACTGATAACATTAAACTGATGAGCAGTAAAAACTTTTAAAGCATCGCCAATGGCCAATTTTATGTATTGTAGTTTTTTGAAATTTTGCGTGCAATTTTAAGGCTTGACATATTTGGTGTCTTTTTACCCGACGTGACCCCGTCTTTTATATTTAACCCAAAAATTGGGTAATAAATGTTTTATCATTAAATATAGGGGGAAACAGTTTTTTTTTTAATTCAGTAATTTTTCTTTAATACAGTAAAAAATAAAAACCCCAGTGGTGAATAAATACCACCAAAAGAAAGCTCTACCTGTCCCCAAAAAATGGTATAAAATTAATTTCAGTACAGCGTTGCATGACGGAATAAACGTCAGTCAAAGGACTGCAGCGCTGAATACTGAAAAATGGCCTGGCCAGGAAGGGTGTCTAACACCACAGACTTCAAGTGGTTAAAGTAATACTAAATAGAACCAAGTTTTTTTTTTATTATTATTATTTATTTATTTTTTAACACACAATAAGTTTATTTTTAAGTTGAACTCTGGCCTTACCTTCGTGGACAGTTGTATGGGTTCCTCTCCCATAATGAAGTTGCAGAGTACACAGTTCAGGTCACTGGCTTTTTGGCAAGAACAACAGGTATTTTTTTGCAACTTAGTGAACAGATACAAGGAAACGCTTCTGATGGTATATTCACAAGACCGACACTAAGCAAATAAGAGAACTTTATTCTTCGAATTTAAATACGCTTTAATTTTCATTTCTCCGCATCTGTGAACCATAGAACAATGTAACCAGATACTATATGGAAGCAGTAACGTGGAATGCAGTCTGAGTGATGCCAATGAGCTGATTCAGCACAGGGCATCTGACGACAGACAGAACCAGAGTGATGAAGTGTATATGCAAAAAGGCAAAGTGCAGTTAAATTAGAGTGATTGGACGGCTATTCATTAAAATGGTAGCAAGTGATTTATACAGCACTATGCAGAGCCTGCTCCTATTCCCGGCCATTATTAGTTCTCTAATACCCAACTTCTATTAATCACTTGAGGGAGATTGCATAACCCTTGCTATCGGCATTCATTTTAAAGCAACACAACCAAATTACAAGTCAGTAATCTATTTAAAGACACGCACAGATCTCTTAAAGAGTACCTGTCATGCATACTAAGGTGAATCATTTGAGTACATGAATTTTAAATGACAGTGATTCACATTCTGCCCCTATGAAAATAGGGGTGGCCCTTATGAGAATAGGGGGCGAACGGCAGCGAGTGAGCTGCTGAAGCTTCCGCTCAGCTGATCCAGATGTTTGATCGGCTGAGTTGAAGTCCTTCTGCACTTCTGCAGAGCCTGTTCAGCTGAGCGAAGTGCAGCCAATGTACAGCTGATTTCAGCCGGTGTACAGCTGAAATCAGCCGCACTGAGCCGGATTGAATAGCCGAACATTGTTGGGCTCACTTCACTTCGGCTGGGTTTGTCACTCGGCTGCCTTCGGCAGCTTTGTGAATAACCCCCTTAGTTTCCTGCAGAATCGGCTGGTCCCCTGAGCACTGGCCCTGATATCCTGTTGTAGGGTGGCTCCTCTCCCTTGCACATTACCACATCTGTGGCCCGGGTTCTATGGACTAGTAGATGGGCAGGTGCTGATGACTGTGATGTCCCCCGGTGATCTTGAACTGGACAGGAAGTTCTCGGAAGCCAAGCTGAGAGAGTTGGAGCTGTTTGGAAACACAACGACTAGAATTGGTTGGGCAAAAATGTAAAGAAATGCTTTGATGGGCGATGTATATTTGTTTGATCTGGATTCATTATTATAGAAAATTGAAAAAAAAGCTTGAGAGTTTAAGGTAACCTCCGCTTTGCATTTTTCCATCAGTGTGCACCTCTTAGGTTTGTGACAGGTACTCTTTACATGTCCTCTTCTCTAAACTTTATGCACTGTAGATTTTTTTCTTTTTCAAATGTTCTTTTGACTTTATATTTTTTATTGTTATATGGAATGCCCCCATTTTTCCGCCCTCATTATCAGGTAATATTTATCTTCTGTCAAAATAGCCGCGTGCCCTTTCTAACATCGCGGCAGCCTTTAAAACCGCCCGAGTCCTGAATATATTAACATTGCTCCCGCAAAGAACAAAACAACACCGGGATTAATCTGTGGAGTTTGTTCATTTCTTTACTTACAGTGACCTGAAATCTTATGGTTGAAGCTTGATATCCATGATCGGAATTTATAATTAAGGGTTTCAGATCATCAAGAGCAAATGTAAGAAAGGGAAAATGGTGGAAGTGCACAAATCAAACAATGAGATGTCTGAGTTTTGTATCTAGTCCACGCTAGAAGAAAAGTACGGCTGAGATTGACTGGTATTGGCAACATGGAACTTCAATCTTCCATGTAAACCCTAACTGCATGTTTAGTTCACTGAGGCTGAGCGTATCATAAAAAAAATACAATTTTGTAGAACAAAATACTTGTTTTCACCTTTTAAATTCTTTGTTGCATCTCAGTGCTGCTGATTTCCAGCAGCCATTTTATGTCTACGTCTCCTCTGGTGTATTGTATTTCCAAGGGAGGTTTCGTGATTGTGTCTGCAGTGGACCCATGCCAGGTTATCCTCTTGCTGTCTTGAGCAATTTCTTACTATTTGCACACACATGATACAATGTGAATTTTTGGCTAGAAAACAGCATCAGACCCCCAAACAATTACATATTTTCTGAAAGCAGAGGCCCTGTAGAATAAAAAGGTGCTGGTTGCAATTTTTTATGTTGCATGGTATTTGCACAAATGTTTATCAAACAAGTATCTTTAGGATAAAATACACTATAAATAAAATTTAGTGCACAGAAACAGAATGTAATACCATATTTTTTGGTAAAATATAAAAGACGGGGTCACACCGGGTAAATAGATACCAAACATGTCAATTCTTAAAATTGCGTGCTTCTGTGAAACCGCAAAAAACAACAATACCCCAAATTTCCCATAGGGTACTTTTACTGCTCATCATTTTAGTGTTACCAGTGATTGATGGCCCTAGAATTATTGGTCTCACTCAGACATTCAAGGCAATATGTAACATGCGTGGCGCAAATTTTGCACGTAGGCGCATTTAAAGTGTGATTGCGTTGTATGTGCGTGCACGCTAGGGGCAGCGGACTTTTAAAAAAAAATGTTTGCATTTCTTTTTGTATCTGTTACTTTAAAGTAGAACTATGGGGTCAGGGTTTTTCCCCATTGTTCTCCTAAGGGTAACGGGAGGACACAAACTAGCATCATCCCGTCACCCAAAGCTCAGTATACAGCGAGCTGCAGCTGAGACGCCGCCGCAGCCAACTGCGTGAGTGACAGCTGGCTTTGCCTATCTAGAGGCAGAGCCAGCTGTACCCGCCCCCTCCCCCATCCGTTCTGCCAGTCAGCGCTGGAAGATTGGACAGGGGAGGGAGGGGGGAATCCCTGCAGGGAGCCGTGAGTGACAGTCACGGCTCTCTGCACGGATAGATCGAGAAGTGAGCGAGCGCCAGTATGTGTTCGCTCACTTCCCGATCTACTGAGCCGTCCTGTGACAGTTTCATTGTCACAGGTTGGCTCAGATTATGAGGCTGAGTGAAAATCACTCGCCTCCTAATTTTCCTTTAATTTTCAATTTATTTTTACACTCAACCGTATTACTTTCACATTAGGGGGCTAACAACCCCAGTATGTAATAGCAAATATAATGTGACAGGTCCTCTTTATGGAGACATCAGGGGTCTTTCAGACCCCTAATGTCACCTAGGGACCCCAAAGAAGCAGATAAAGCAGAGATCTGTAGTAATCAAAAGGGTTAGGGTAGAGGTCGACTATAAGTTCTTGGCTTTAGATATCCTTCAATGTAGAAGAATCCTCCTGCACTCCTCTGGTATGTCCCTTGTGGTGGGTGCTGTAGTGACTGCTGATGGGCTGGTGATAATCTTTACTACTACATATTAGGGATGCACAGATACTTTTCGAGTACCAGTGCAGATACCTGGCATTTTCATGAGAACTACCAGGGTTGCAGCGGTTGCAGCTGGGACCTGGCTCTGGCACTCCACCACTGTCCTGAAATCATTAGTAGGTTTTGTTTTAGAAAAACTGTCACATGACAATAAACAAAAATGTATCAGTACTCGTACTTGTAAGTACTCGGCAAGTATCAGTACTCGTACTCGCAAAACTGGTATCTGTGCATCCCTTTATTTATATTTATAAAAACAAAATCATACATTAAAACAGAGATGTACAAATCCCAGGAGCTCCGTGTGCTCCTTACACATGACAGCGGCCTCCTAATTTTTTAAATTTTCTCTAGTCTAGTCTTGGAGCTCAAAAGTATCGGTACATGTACTCGTACTTGTACCGAGTACTGTACTTGGTATCTGTGCAACCCTACTAGATATCCTTTAAGGCACGTAGTCAGTTTAGATACAAATAGCGCTTAGTATGCGGAGCCCCGAGCATTTTGCAAAGCGCCTTTTTTTTGGAACACCACAACGGATTGCTCGGCGAGCATATTGCTTGCCTCTGCAGATTAGGTTGCTTGGTATTGTTGAAGGGACGTGATTAATTTTGCAATCACATTCATTCCTATATTTCAGGACCCTGTGTTGCTTCCATCCTCTCTTTTATTTTAAACTCCCATTTTCACCTGTGTTCCCGACTAAAACGCAGTTTGTACGGATTCAGCGGGAAAGTAATCACGGCCATAAATCAGGCGCCGGTTTACTACAAAACGCGACTACTTTATTGTCTTTCTTATTCCGATCGCCAAATGAGAGAAATAAATAGACTGCAAGGTTTACTTTTGTGGCACTTTAAAAAAAATGCCTTTCTCAGTTTCTGCGCAGCGGAGATTTTCCACATTAACGGAAATTAAGGGACCAAAAGGAAATTGCTGAGATTTCTGTAACGTTGTTTTGCAGGTGCCAGAACCGGAGAGGTGGCATTAATGAATGGACTGACGGTTAATTTGCATCTTCAGATGGTGAGTCTTTTCTCCCCTGCGCTGGATGGTCTACTTTCAATTGCAGATTCTCCTTATCTATTATGCGTGTTCACACTGAGAATCATTACTTTTACTATTCAAGAAATTGTTTCCTTCCAAACTCACAGAAGCAAATACGGAACAATAATCGTCTCCGGCTTCTGGGTTCTTTACATTTTTCAGCGCCGGTTATCTTGGCAGGAAATCAGAGGCAAATCCTCAATTTTCTTTATTAAAGGGAAACTCCAGAAGAAAATAAATAATAATTTTTGTTTGTTTGCAATTTACTAATATCTTACCACTAATGACGGGTGTGCCATCTGTGGCTAGCTGCTGCATTAGTTAAAGGGTAAGTCCACTTTCCCAGGTGAATTTAGGAAAAAGGAATTACCCCTTCCAATCTGCTCCCCTCTCCCCCCTTACTTACCTTTCTGTGAATCCTTATTCCCCTCCACCGGTAGGGGTGTACTATGCATGCCTCGTACTGCTGTGTAGTGCAGCCCTGGGCTCTGGATTTAGAACTTTGCTTGCAAATGGTAACCACTAATTGATCAGCGCAGTCAATAAGAAGCACTTGTGACTGTGCCGACCAATGAGAAGTGCTTCTTGCTAAGAACTAAGAATGGCCAACGAGTGCTTGCCCTTTGCAAGCAAAATTCTAAATCCAGAGTGTAGGGCTGTGCTACACAGCAGTACAGATAATGGATATAGTACACCCACACACTGGCGGGGAAGGAGCATTCACCGAAAGGTAAGTATAGCATGCGGGGGGGGGCAGATTGGAGGGGGTAATTCAAATTTACCAAATTCACCTGGGAAATTGAACTTACCCTTAATCAGTTTTATGCACCCAAGCCTTCTATAAGCACCGAGCTACCAAATTGTAGTTCCCTGGCTCTAATACAGAGTAGATAGCAGGTAACTTGTTCGGCACTTTGGCCATTCACACAACCAATCAGCATCTCTCTTCAGTTTGTTCAGGTAAGATTTGAAAAGGAGACAGAGAAGCTGATTGGTTGCAGTGCAAATTGGTTGCTGTGAATGGGCAAGAGAGATCACATGGTTTACTCTTCTCAAATGGGCAAAGTGCCAATCAAGTGACCCGGTGCCTTCTCTGTACCAGAGGCTATGAGGTCTATTTATAAACAATTCACAGAGCCATTTACCGTATGTGAATGTCCCTTCTGTGCGAATAGATGCAAAAACAAATGTTCTTCGTCTATTTTCTGTACACGTATGATGTAATTTGGAATGGTAAAATGTAACACTGTACTCTAACCACTAGATGGAGCTGATGAGAATATGAAACACATTTTTTTCTTCTTCTCTTCAGCCTCATTTAGTGGCCATAATGCGGTATTACATTATTGCATTCAAAATTACATTTAACTTGTAACTTGTAAGGAATCTATACTAAGGACCTTTGTTTTTGCCTCTGTTCTCACAAAAACAAAGGTTCACAGAGCTTTGGAAGGTGCATGGCTCTGTGATTTGCTTAAAAACAGACCCCTCTGTTTTGTGGTCGGAAGTTGCATTAAAAAAATGATCATTTTAACTAATGCAGCAGCCAACCACAGATGAGACACCCATCATTAGTGCTAAAATATTAGTAAATTACACAGGGCAAAAACACTTTTTTTTTTCCTCCTGCAGCTCGGCTTTAAAATCCCCTTATAAAAATTGAGGATTAATCTAGGATTTAAGCTAATTGGGCTCTTAAAAATATAAAAATGTCTCACATCGTGCTCTGCCTCGCCTGGTCACAGAACGTCTTGTATTCTGTGTAAAAAAACAGTGTAAGTGCCAGAATCTGAGTTAGTATTAGCCTCTTCCAGTCTACTGTACAACACAGTTCAGAAGGGGGAGGGAGAATCAGCACAAGGAACCAATCAGATGTGTTGCAGTTTCAGGATCCACGCTAATAGGAGGAGAAAGCAGAGGGGCAGAGAGATGAGCTCATTAGCTCACTGCTTTTCCTTTCACTGTTCAATCACAGGCTGGGAGAGGGGGACCTGAAGTGAAGGTAAAACAGCAAAGAATGGTCAAGTTCCTCTTTCTTCTGCTAGACCATGGCTGTGCTGTGAGGCAGTGCTATGTACATCTCAGGAAAAGAATCAAAATTGTTTTCTTCTTCCCACTGATAATTGTGAGGACATCCTGTTTGGAACCCCCACAAATCAGCTATTTAAAGAGACCTATCAGCCAATCTAGAGTTTTCCTCTGCAGTACTTTTTCCTGCTACTAGACAGAAAAAAAGTATAATTCAACCCACTTCTTTGGAACCCCGGAAAAAAATGAACCCGACACTGACTGTGATTAGACAGTGAAATGAGAAGCAGCATAATGGTGAGATCATCTCTTTGATACTCTGCTCTGCCCTCCTATCAGCATGCTTCTTTTCAGCATGCAAACTAATTGTCTCCTTGCACTGCTTCTCCCTCTACTTGTCAGAGCTTTGCTACACAGAGACAGCAGGAGGCTGATATCAGGTCGAATTACACCGCTTGAATAAAAAAAATATATATATTTAAATAAAAACTGCAGGATTTCTTAAAATTAACCCCTGCAGCGTGGCTACCCCCACACTGCAAGGGTAAAGTACTCGTTTTGGTCTACGGGCGTAAAAAATAAAACCTGATCCTCAGTCCCATGGCAGTCAATGCTCACCTTCCTCTACTCTGGCCGTGGAATGTCCCTCGGCGTCCTCATGTCCAATGGACCTGCATTAGAGGCAATGACGTCAATGGTCTTTAGACCGCCGGAGCCCGGGGGAGAAGAGGATGCAGGGACTGGTCTAGCAGTCAGATGTGACATAAGATCGGATTCATATTTCTGCTACTTTTGAGCCCCTAGACCAAACCGAGCACTTAACCCTTGCAGTGCCAGGGTAGCCCCACTGCAAGGGTTAATTTTAATGATGAATTTATGATTGCAGAGCTGCATTAATTTGTACCTTTTATATCTGAACAGAGTACAGCATTAAAAAAAATGAAGCATTAGGGTGAGTGGGGCGCTTTATGATATGTTCTATATCACTGCAATTACGCAGCATACAATTCTCCTAATTTTTCAAGGGTCCTCTCATTAAGTCATTAGGGTTGTTTTGCAGTAAAAGGCTTCGCTTTGCTGAACTCCCGCCGTAATGCCTTTCCATCTCTTTGTTTTACAGCTGTCCTTTTACAAGCCGACAAAAGCTCGCCATAAGATCCTGCTGGAGGCCAAAGCGTTTCCTTCTGACCATGTAAGCCGCGATCCTTTCAGGCCGATAATTATACCTTAATGTACATTTTCTTATACCTGCCATGGTGATTATTATACAGTAAATAAGCCCCAACACAAAGCAAAGAGCATTAAAACTGGCTGGCATTAGAGTGGAAGGTAACATTTCCCATCAGTCAATTAAGAAAACATATATAACAGTGAGGGCCGTGTTTGCTTATTGATTTAATACTGTTTTCAAAGCAATTGGTAAGATCGTGCCTATTACTTGCAATACAAGACGTGCCGGACATTGCCGTCAATGCTTCGTGATGCTTTTACTGCACAATCTGAAATCAATACTGTGTACCAGGTGTTTAAAACATCATGTATTTACACAGGAGCAAAATGATTCCTAAGGGATCAAAGTGAAAACTTCACTATAGTCTTTAATAAGGGAATGGATCAAAGATTACAGAAGCGGAAATGGAAAAAAATAGTTTTTGTAGTTATGCGTTCACTTCAAACTGAACTTGAGGCAAACAGCTACCATGCACACAGAAAATACAAGGGTTTTTCAAAAAGTAATGCCTCCATGCCTATAATTTGAGATCTATTAGAGTGACTGTGAATATTCATGTACCATGTTATAGAGGTGTGCGCACAGGGTGTGCCAGGTGTGCCTGGGCACACCCTAACAACCCGGAGCGCAACATCAAAACGGCAACAGGAGTCAATGAGCCGGTGGAGAGATCACAAAGATCTCTCTGTGATCGGCTCAGTGGTACAGAGCGCAGGAGCACTTGCCACTTACATTCCTCACATAACAGCCGCAGTCCTGGGAAGCTGTGAGGGAGCATGACTAAAGTTTCCCAGGATTGCCATCCAATCAGGAGTCCTCGGGTGCCTGGGAAGCTGCGAGGGAGCGTAGCTGCGGCTTCCCATCCGATCAGGAAGCCGAGGGGTGGTCACATGACCACGTTCCAGGCTCCCTGCTTCATTACTGCACCCCTGCTGTAGGAGGTAAGGGACAGTTGAAGAGATGGGAATCTAGGATTCCTCAAGTCTGTGTATGTATGCCTATGTATAAATATATGGGGGGCAGTTAGGGTGTAGCAGTAAGCTTTGTCAAGCAAGAACAAACAAGATCTGCCAATAAGTTGGTTGGGGAAAGACCAGGTACAAATCACTGGGAGAGGTTCCAGAGCAAGGTGACAGCGATGTAATGTTGCCACTGCCTGGTATAAACTACACAGTGGCAGGTAGGCGATTGTGCACCATATTCATAGATGAGCTGCACTTGTGACCATTCTCCTTTGCAGGGTGTAGATGTAATGAAGGACTGTCCAGATCCTCTGAAACACTTTTATTATAGGCATAGATACAAGATGAATAACACTAGGATCCATCAATACTGGTACAATAGCACTTTTTGCATTGGATTTTTGCGCCTGGAGTCCACATATTACAGTCCATGTACCCATTGCACTCCTGACCGCATGTTATATATGTGGGAGTCCACATATAACATGAAAGACTTGGAAACACGTTGGTGAAAAAAGTCAAATTATGACTCACCAATATCCAGCTGCTTCCTGAAATTGATTTCTGATTAGTCGCGTCTTCACATTACTGACTGCGCTCTGCTCTGGGCTAAATAAGGCCACGGTTTATTTTTTCCCTTCTTGGTCTAAAAGGTAAACTGTTGGCTCATTCTACAAAAACCTCTTTGCTCTGGTAACATTTAGCAAATGATCTGTTAATTGAAATCTGTGAAATGGAGTGAGCAAAACATCTATTCCTAGCTTTTCACAATGCAATTTAAACATTAAACATCAGACATCATACAATCTAGTGGGAGTAAAACTAGGTGAATCAATAATGGGGAAGGATCCTGGTAGATCAGAGACATAATACCAGCAGGCAATGCAGATATGCTCCTTCTAGAACAAGCAAGATATTTTCTTGTATTAGAAGAGTCATAGACTTTAGATATAGATCTGATGATATCCGGTAATACATTTCATATTGTACTATTACTAGAAAAGACATGAGGAAACTCTTTGAGACTAAGAGGTTTAACCTCTGTATATGGAAAGGGTTCTTTGCTATATAGGAGCTGGTTCTAGGTAATTTGATAGGTCTGGATTTTAATAGGTCTGTATGTGTTTCTGTTGTACAAAATTAACTGGCTATGTTCTTAAGATGACGGTGAGAAGACTCCATAAATGGTAGAAGGAAAAATGAGGGCGAAAGTCCCAGGGGAGATCCGACTAAGTGTAAAAATGTTGCAGTGCAGAGATAAAATAACAGTATGAAATTTGATATATATTATTTAATACTTACAATAAATGTGGCTGCAGGATGTCCAATAGGGGATATCAAGCAACCAGTATAATTAGGCATGAGGGAAATAACTCTGTCCCTGCGCTCAATGCCTGTCAGGGTGAGGTTTGGATATTCCGGACCTGGTATGCTATAGCAGTCTGATCTGGTCTGGAGAGTATCATAGAAACATAGAAGACTGGTGGCACAAAAGATCAAGTGGTCCATCATTCTGCCCCTTTTTTTCTTTCTTTTAACCTTTTCATCTGTATATAGATCTATGTTTGTCCCAAGCATGTGTAAATTCACTTACAGGGTTATTCACAAAAGGGTGAAGAGTTTGGAGAAGGCAGGACAAGTGAACAATCTAGGCCAAAATAGCTGATTTGGAAAAATTCTCCAATTCAGCTCACTTTCCAGTTCAGCTATGTTGCCCTAGATTGGTCACTTCTGCTCCCTTCTCCAAACTCATCACCCTGTGAATAACCCTGTCAATGTTGACTGATTCAGAATATCAAAGATTCTTGATTTGGGGAATTAAATGATTGCCTTTGGGGATCAGAAAACTTCAGCTGCAGGTTTGGGTTTCGGAGGTTGCAAGGTGGGTTTTATTATTATTTTTTTATCTAACTCAGTGGACACTTCTTTTTAAATATCTAACTATGTGACTATACAGTATAAATATAAGGTGATTATGTTTTGTGGTGAAATATAAAAAAAAAAAAATCAGCACTTTCTAAAAATTAAAAACTCTTGTTTTGCAGTACGCGGTGGAGTCGCAGATTCAGTTTCATGGACTCGATGTGGAATCCAGCATGCTGTTAGTGCATCCCCACAAGGTTTGGTTCAGACTTTCTATTTCCACATTTTACTTCCAAGGCCTTAATCTGTGCTTCATCCTGCCAGAAACCTTCTGATTTCGGTTTCTATTTCAAGGACCTGTCTGAGATCAAGAAAGTGGCCCAACAATATAGCATTCTGCTAGTTAGTGGTTGGATTAGTGTAATGGACGTCCTCAGGGAGATAAAACCGAACGCTTTTATTACTATGCCAATGTCTTCATTAATTACAGACTGGGACAGATGAAAGGGTTCTGTTGACAGATACGGCAATGTTCTTACAGTCTTAACAAAGCATCATCACTGTCCTCTCTGTGTTGTTTTATTTGGATAATGGCTTCTATGAAGAGGTTCTCTGGCAAGTATTGTTATGTATATATTACAAAGGGGCATGCAATACCTCTCCATAAATACATACCCCCTCCTCAAAGCAGCATCCTGTACGGGGGGGACAAATGATAGCAATTCCATGGTATACAATTACATTGTAATCAAGACCTAATGCTTAAGGATTTAGGATATAGTTTTGTTGATTTTATGTACACATTGACTCCTGTTATCTGGAGACTGGATAAAGGGCTTTGGAGTTGATTTAGTCAAGGCAAATTGGCTGTTCACTTTATGTTTAATTTTAAATTTGCAAGGGAATTTTCCCTTAGCTTAGCGAATGAGGTGAAACTCTGCTCATCCAATCATGTGCGAGGAAAAGGGCACGTGATTGATATTCTTTGCCAAGTGAATTTCCAACCACATTTACTAAGCTAAGGGAAAGTTCCCTTGCAAAGTGAGCAGCCAATTTGTCTTTAGTAAATCAACCCGACTGTTCTTAATCCAGTCTCCAGATAACAGGAGTCAAGCAGGGTTATTCACTAAAGGGTGAAGAGTTTGGAGAAGGCCGGAGAAGTGAACAATCTAGGACAACATAGCTGAACTGGAAAGTGAGCTGAATTGGAGAATTTTTCGAAATCGGCTATTTTAGCCTAGATTGTTCCCTTCTCCTCCCTTCTCCTCCCTTCTCCAAACTCTTCACACTTTAGTGAATAACCCTGAAGGAGTACCCAGATAGCAAGCAACTGAGCTGCAAGTTTGAAAATGACTTGCTAAACTATTGCTAGACTTGCCAAGCTTCACAATTTCGTTGCACAATTACAGCAAGTCTGTATTGCAAGTCTCCGAATCAATGCAAAAGTGCTGTACAATTTAACCCTGCCACAAGTTTGTGGCAAGTTATCCTTTCTATCTGGGTATTTACAGTTTAAAAATATATATTTATAACCACCAGCAGAGGTCCCTGATACATCTGTCTGGTGTCTACCCCTTCCAACATTTCACTCCAATACCCTTTGCCCCTAATAAAGTGCAAGACATGGTCAGGAAATCTGACCTCGCCTTAACCTTCTCCTTTTGGATGTACTGTATACGATCATTAAAAACACAAGCACTCAATTGATTTTAATCAGATCCAGTCTCCTGTCTTTTTTTTCCCCCCAGAAAAAAGATGATTTTTCAGCAGCACCATCATTAACATTTAAGAAGGTTACAAGATCCTTAAAAAGAACATACGGCAGAATGAATGCCATTTTATGACTCCTCATTTCTTTAAAGGCTAAGTTCCTTAAAACCTTTCTCAATCCCATTAAGCTAGTATAAATAACCATATCCCCTCAGCTAATTAGTCTCTTGGAGCATAAACATTTTATTTTGCCTGCCTTTAGGAAAGATTTAATTATTTCTAGCAAATGGGAATGCATGGTTTACCCCAGGTGAAGAACGCAGTGCTAATAAGACTCAAAGCAGCCAAAAAGGATGTTTCATTTGCTGCAACTAAATTTTTGGCTGATCACATTCACCTTGGATTTACTTCACATTAGGTCTTGGTAACATTGGCTGTGTTGACACAACAGCCAATGTTTTATTTGCTTACACTTAAAAGTAATACATTGAATTACTGGATTCACTGTAGAATGTGTCTGTGAAGGTTCTCATTCATCCAGGTCATGGTACAGCTGTAAGAAATAGATCAAAGCAACTGGACTCGCTGTATTTTTCTTGAAGACATTTTGCCGGTCATCCAACTAGCTATCTCAATGCAGAGTGCCTCTTCAGAGTAATTGAGTAAGTTACTAGAGTGGCTATTCAGAGTTATTGATCTCTACTGATTGTCCAAAGCAAGAATACATTCTACAGTGCATAAGAAATGAATCAAAGCAAATGGTGTTTTTTTTCTTGAAGACGTTCAAATTGAGGTGGCTAGCCGGACGGCCAGTGAAACGGCTTTCAGAAATATACAGCAAGTCCAGTTGCTTTGATGAATTTCTTACAGATACACTGTAAAATGTATTCTTGCTTTGGATGTAGAGTTCAATAACTCTGAATAGGCACTATAGAAATGGAGGAGGGTGCATGCAAGTGATGCACCAGGCATGACAATTCTAAGGGTTTTATTGCTTTTTTTTTTTTACAGAATGTATTCAAAATATGAAGCCAATATGCTCAAAAGGGCCTGCTTCATCAGGGCTCTTTGCATTGCATGATTTTGGGCCTATGAGTTGCTGGGTCCAAATAGATAAAGGATACCAAAACTGGCTGCTGAAGCTCGCTTTATCTGATTAATTTTACCCAAATATTGTTGCATTTTTAAACCTGATGAAGGGGGGCCCTGGGACCCCCAAAATATGTTGGTTTGTTCTTATGTTGACTACATTTTGTTGAAAATGCAATAATTCTCTTCATTCTTGGTGTGGAGAGCCTCACTACCAAGTCCAATGTTCTATTTAGTGGCTATGACTGCTTTGAACCATCTACCACTCGCCAATGTCTGGCTACCAATCGTTCTCTACTCCAATGTGTGTCAGGGATGTGCGAATTTCAGAACTGGATGCACAGGAATACAACTCTCCTGACAGATAAAACAGCTCCCATATATGAATTTTACCTGTGTATTTAGCTGAAGTTTAAATGAATACACAACTGCATTAAATGGTATTTTAATATTTCCCTACAGCTCACGGTTAAAGAGAACCTGTGACATTACAAAGTTTTTAATCAAAGGATTTTCTTGCCATCCACGCTACACTGCTCCATTGCAGAAAACTGGTTTGCCAAAATCTGCTTGCAAACCAACACCTCTGGAAGTGTTGACCTTGGTGGTCCCTGGCAGCTCTCACAGGTTCCTTTCTCTGATGTCACATCACTGTAAGATACAATACTTACATGAAGTTAGATGGAAGAACCAGTGAGTACTGCCAGGGACCATGAAGACCGACACTCCAGGAAGTGTCAGTTTCCCAGAAGACTTCAGGGGACTATTTGTACACATTGGAGCAATTTTGAGCAGTGTGAACATTTGACAAGGTCAGTATATACCCTCTTCCTTACAAATATGTGTTTGGATTAAAAATGTGTAGTGTGACAGTGTCTCTTTAAGAATGCTGTAGCCACTCTGCATATTCTTAGGAGTAATGTTTGCTGCCAGTATATAAATTCTACATGCATTCTATATTTCTCCCTCACATATAATTGGCCAGCAGAGAATGTTAGCAAGCTTTGTAGTGAGAATGAGAACTGAAGATGCAGTTCACACACCCAACTAAAACGTGATGACCAGCATATATGTCCCTATTACACAATGGTCATTCATGTTTATTTAAAAGAATTTAAAATGTATCTAAAGACAAAACCAAAACTTGTGTTTTCACTTTTGGTCAGATTAGAGGATCTATAAAACCTCTGTTGGGTTTTTATTGCCGTTTGTGCCCCAGTTGGGGAAATTAATTGTCTCCATGTGTCAAAGTGAGGCAGTCACCAATGTCACTAGGTTTAAAAGTGATTGCAAATCCAAAATGTAAAGTTGTCACCAGAACAGGAGTAGAATGTAAATCTTCCAATGAAGACACCTGTTTCAATGACAACTGTCTAAGGGCCCATCCACATCAGCTTGGTCTGCTGCAGTGTGTTTAAAGTACAATGCTTTAGGGTAGCCCATTAATTTGAATGGGCTGTCCAATGTGCCAAAACAGACCAAAAAGCATGTATGCAGCATTTTCGTCAGCACACTGCACTGCACCTTGATACCTAAGGTGCATGGGGATGCCACTCAGACACCCTGTCACATCAATGCCTGTAATGATAATGTTATTGGGCCGGAAGGCCCCTTTCAGAGGGGCGGTCTGATCAGGTTCACCTGTCAGTTTTTCAGGCAGACCCAATCGGATGCCCAATGTAAGTCTACAAGATAAGTCAAGATAATTCAAGCCGTGATTTGTCATAATTGTGATGATTATGGCTTACAGCTCATGAAAACGCCAAGAACCCCAAATCCACAACCTCAAAAAAGTAGATTATTACATGCAATCAATAAAACATGGATTGTACATAGAACAATATCGGACCTCTGAAAAGTACAAGCATGCATATGTACTCAGTACTTGGTTTGGGCCCCTTTTGCAGCACTTACTGCAATTAATTTTGCACGATATTCTAATTAATCGAGTTTCACCTGTAGTAATTTGTTTCGTATGGGCACCACCATCTTGCTGCATCCAAGATGGCAGTGCCCATGCATGCGTATGATGTCACCCGACGCCGGCTTCATGTCATGTGCCCTGTCTCCAAGATGGCGGCATGCATATGCACAACGCGCAATGGTCAATGTGGCCGCTGTGCGTTCTGTTTTTTAGATGGGCGCTTTCAGATTTTGGAGGTTCGTTGCCTCCGAATCTAAAACAGCATAATTATTTGTTTCATCAAACAAAACAAATGAAAAGGTTTTTACCTTTGCATTCGTTTTGTCCAAAACACATTTTTATGCTGTGCACATGTCTACCGTTCACATCCGGTTGCCCCCTGCTCCAGCCTGGTCCACAAAAACAAACGGAACAGTGCTCCATTTTGCTGGACCTCATTATTCCGGATAAGGGGTAATCTGATGTACATTGGATGTGTCCTTTTTTATCTAATTCTCCATAGACAGAGAAGGGGTCCAGTAATTTCAGTTTTTTCCTCCACTGCAAGATGGGGGTAAAAACTGGACGGACACGGATGTCATAACAGTGAGATCCGTTCCGTACTGCTCCGATCAGGAGGGGATCTGTGCACGCATACCCTCCTGATCACATAGGGGTCTATTCACTCAGCTACCATAGGCAGCTGAGTGAATGACCGACCTAAAGCGAGGTGAGCCGAACGCTATTCGGCTATTCACTTCAGGCTGGCACGGCTGATTTCAGCCGTATATCGGCTGAAATCAGCCGTACATCGGGTGGCTTCACGAAGTGCAGGAGGAGTTCAACTCAGATTTTGGATTGGCTAAGCCAAACCTGCAGGCTACTCGCTGCTGTTCGGCATATTCTTATAGATGCCGAACAGCAGTGAGTGAATAACCGAATGCCGCTGAGCGGCATTAGGCTCGGCTGTTCTGCTCGGTCCCTCAGAGTGACCGAGCAGAACAGAAAAATAGTTAAAGAAGTACAAAAAAAAAATTGTTCTGCTCGGTCCCTTTTTAAATTGTTAAAAAAGTTTTTAAAAAGTAAATAGAAAACGATTGTGCGGAGCAAGCAATGACAGCTAGCTCCGCCCAACAGTATTGGCCGGCGGTTCTGCTGCCGTAAAAAAAAAATACTCTCACGGGCGCTCTGGGAGTCTCCCGCTCCCGGCCGCCCAGGAGAGAAACACTGCTTTTTCTTTTTTTTTCTTTATTCGGACACGGAGCCGTGTCAGAATAATTAATTATTTTTTTGCCCATAGGAATGCATTGCTAGATTCCTATTGGCTATTTCAATTTGCAATAGCCAATAGTAAACTAGCATTGCACCCACCCCCTGCTGATGGACCTGATGGAGAACTGCAGCAGAGGGCGGGTGCAATGCTAGTTTAGTGTGAAAAGGGCCTAAGAGAGGATTTCCCTCACTTTGGAGATTTCTTCTTACTTAATACTGTGTCTATAAGACAGGAAGTGAAGGGAAATTCTCACAATGGTACACAGATGGCAAAAAAAAAAAACATGTGTTTTCTATGTGCCCTGTTTACACTGCAATGCTGCCTTCAGACAGGCTGCATTTTTCTGCAACACATGAAGTGTGTTACTGGCAGGATCACAAGGAGAAAATAAAGGGAAATAAACCTGAAAAAAGAAAATAAATGCAGCCACCCCATTTACGGGCCAGTAATCTTCAACACATTAAATGTTTATGTATGTATATGCTGTATATATATTTATGTATTTATTTTTATTAAATTAATTTATTATTTATGTATTTATTTTTTCCTTATTCATTAATGTATTTATCCTTTTCTATATATAAACCTTAACATTAATTTGCCTTCAGAAAAGTAAATTCTTTTTTTTTCCTAGGGGGAACAAACACTGAGGACGGAGGATATTCTGTCAGTTATTGACAAGGAAGGTGATTCAATTGCCCTCATTTTATTTTCTGGCGTTCAGTATTATACAGGACAGCTATTTGACATCCCCAAAATAACAGAGGCCGGTCACAGAAAGGTATGTCTCCCTCCATCTTTATAATACAAAATTGATTTTTGTTAAAAGTCTGCATTCCTTATGAAGGGCAGGAATATTGTAGTCAGGGGTAAGCCATCTGCTTCCACGGAAATAGGATTCAGTCAGCAGGCTGTTCCCCATGGTGCTGACCGCGGTATTGCTCAGCTTATCAACCTGCATGAGACAGGCTCTGTACAAATTTCTCTACCTCATTTTTTATGATTGGCCTTTGGTGACTTCACCCCGGTCCCCTCAAGCCAAAGATACGCCAGTTCGCTGACCTGGTTTACAAAAACAGGAAAATAGGCTCGGTTCAGAGCTGGGATATTATACGTCCGGAAATCAGAGCAACACAAAAGACTTAATTAAGAGTTTATGTCACCTTTCAGGAATAAAAGTGGCATCATTAGAATGTTACTGCACTTGTATATTTTTTATTTATCTTATTGATATTTGTGTGCCTTGTATCTGTGATTGTGCTTAACTATATAAGTAGTTGTAAAGTCCCTTCATATCCTCTCCTGTTATAACATCAGCACTGTAATAGGAATACATAGTAGAGTTGTTTTTGATAATGCAATCAAAGCTTAATTGAAAGAAATCCCTTTTATGTAGTAAGCGCTGCATTCCATCTATCCATCACTTTCAACAAATTTCTGGATTCCCAGTTTGGTTTGAGGTTGTGCCAAGTAAATAGATACCCAACATGCCAAGCTTGAAAATGATGTGCGTCGTGAAACAGCGACAAAATACAGTACCTCAAAGTGTTTATAGGCTTTAAAAGCCTGTACTGGTCATCAGTTTAGAGATAACCATCATTATTGGCCCTAGAATGATTGCTCTTACTCTGGCGCACGCGGCGATACCAACATGTGAAGTGCAATTGTCATTTTCATATGTAGGGGCATCAGATGCCTGTTAGTATGTGCGCGTTCGCAGGGGACTTAAACTTTGTGTTGGTATTTTTACATTTATTTTATTTAATTTTATTTATTTATTTATTTTACTTACTTAACTTCATTGCTATTACATAGTGGGACTAACAAGCTCCCTAAGTGATAGCATATTAGTGTTGACAGGTTCTCTAAAGTGACATTAAGGGTCTATTAGACCCCTAGTGTCACCTTTCCACTTCAGAGAAGCTATTCAAGTGCAGACTGGACTTAAATAGCCTTTTGCTTGGTCACATTGTTTTGCCTGATGAAGAAACGCATTTGCTTGTAACACCATTTCTAACTAAAGGTCAATAAAAGACAGATCGATGAAGTGGACCTTGGTGTGCTGGTGACCTGGTGACCTCATTCACACCAGATGCAGTGCGTTCCAGCCCGATTCTGGCCAGAACGCACTGCCCACATTGCGGCCGACTCACTTTTTGTGGGGCAGGAGAGGGCGTGACGATCCGTTGAAGTGAATGGCACCGTAGCCACGCTCTCCGGTCGCAATTCGATCAGCTGCACGGTCCGGTCTGGTCCGGTCAGGAAAAAATGCTGCAAGCACTATTTTGTTCGGACCGGACCGCAGGCATAATGTGCCTTGCAATCCCGTGCGGCCGATCGCATTGCGGCCGGAGGGCGTGGCTACGGTGCCATTCAATGGACTGCCACGCACCCTCCTGCCCCACAACACACTGCGATGCAGTGTGTTCTGGCCAATATTGGGCCAGAACGCACTACATCTGGTGTGACTGAGCCCTTTATGGCCCTACCCATTGGCCATTTCAGAGCCCATTTAATGTAAACATTAGGATAGTCGGTTTGGAGTGTGATGGGAAACCTCTAAATAAATTACATGCTGGGCTCACAGGAAATGGGTAGAATGATATGAGTGTCATTCTGCCCAAAGTGGGCAGCCGATGCTGTACTGATTAGGAAGTTGGGGATGTTGTGTACAAAATATTCCCAAAAAATAAAAACCTAATGTAGGCCACACAGGGAGTGCCAGAGTTTAGAAGCACTGTCAAGGGCTGGCATTGTAAACTACACTCTGTTGTAAAAAATTGCCTTTCTGCGAAGCGGGGAAAATCGAAGGTGAGGATGTGCTTATCCTTTAAGAAAATAAGACCATTTTGTAACGTTATTAATGCAAGGAGTTCATTGACACAGCAGATAGGACTGTGACTGGGATCCATCAATGTATCAAAGTCACGCTATATTTCCTTACAAAAGCCTCAACATGATTTCAGCGATTACCGGATTATCAGTGTGGATTTTACAAGCTTAATCACAAATATGTTATGTTATGCCTGCAGACAAGATGCTGCACTCTGATACACTGTGTCATGTTCTACTAGATGTTGCAGTGTATAATACAGTATATATGTCAAAAGGGAATTTCTGTTCAAACTGAATAACAGGATATTGTTTTAAAATAAGTAGCTGTCAAAATAATTGATTACAATCCATTTGTTGTTATAATGCTCTCCGGTGCTCTATTAGAGAGATTTACCCTCACTTCCTCTTCTGATGAACAATTTCACCAGACAGGAAGTAAGGGAAAATCAGCAACACGGGCACAGACAGAAATGAAAATCTGACGCTGGGAATCATTGGTCCCCCTCGACCATAAAGAATGGGCTGAAGAGGTGCAATGTATTTCTCGGATGGAAGAGCACTCAGCTAGTATTCATGATCACCATCCTCAATTTTATGAATTGTGGAGCGTATGGCTGCACTTCCCCATAACCGACAAGTTCCGCTTATTGCTGTCAACCAAGTTCTTTGTAGCAGTAAAATGCCACATATTTGGATATTCGGGAGGCCCGGGCTCTGTTGCACATCTTCATTTACACACTTACCTTTCTTTTTTTTGTACTTCCTTTTTACTCTTTCTATTACTTTAGATACATTGGGGATATTTTTGCATTGTGCAAATGTTGACAAATAACCCAGCAGTTGTTGGATTGAGTTAACTTATTTATTGCAACTTTGAATTGTTTCCCATGTTGACCCTTTGTTCTCCTAAGAGGACTTTGTTTTCCTGTATTGTCTCACTTGTTTTTTCTCTATGATAAACTACTAATAACCTTTAATTTTTAAAAAGAAAAGAAACACAGTTTCTAGTCCTTCTCCACTCCTTCTAATACTAAGGGGTCTATTCACAAAGCTGCCGAAGGATCCAGCCGTAGCTTCAGCTGATCCTTCGGCTAGCTTCAGTTGTGGGAGCCCTTCGGTTCAGTCTAACCGAAGGGTTGCTGTACGTGCTTTTCATTATAGCCCGTATAGCTCCCGAAGGCGGCCGAGCGGCTCAGCCGAGCCAAAGGCATATGCTTTGGCTCAACTGAGCTGAAATGACAGCTGAAGCGTGGTGAAAGGCTGACCATACGCCTTGCAAATTGCGGCTGGCTCCGCCCAGTTGTAATTGCAGATTAGCGTCCCCATATGACCTGGGGACGCTGATCTGCCATTAAACAATAGCAACTGGACGGAGCCGACCATGACGTCACGGCCGGCTCTGCCCAGTTGTTATTCATTGTCCATGACCTGCTAGAAGACTCTAGCAGGTGTCAGCTGATAAGAAACAATTGGGCGGAGCTAGCTGCTTAGTTGCTTAAATCAAAAAAACATTTTTTTTTGTTTTCCTTTTAATTATTTTTTTCTTCTTTAACTACCTCCCGGCCAGCCGTAGTAAAAAAAACGGCCGGCCGGGAGCTCTATAGATCTGAGCGGGCGTCTTTAGACGTCCGCTCAGACACGCCCCCTCGCGCGCTGGCGTGCGCGAGCGGGAAATGCCCGATATTTAAAACAGGCAGCAATGCCTGTTAACATGTAGAGCCGGCGGATCGCTTGTATGGGGTAACGATCGGTGCCGCCCCCCTCCGCGCCCCCCCACCGTTGTCCCACTGATCCCGGGCTCTGCTGTGCCCGGTGCGAGCCCGGGATCAGCATGGTGCCTGTGTCACAGGGGATCAGAGGGAGATCGTTACACGAGCTCCCTCCGGTCCCCTCTCCGCTGCAAGAATGCGGAAGTGTTGTATAATACATCACTTCCGCATTCTTGTGTCACTCTCCAGCTTCAGAAGCTGGAAAGAAGCTGATGGAGCAGATCTCTGATAATCTCCATAAAGAGGACCTGTCACATTTTGCTATCACATAGGGGGGTTTTATTAGCCCCCGTATGTGATAGCAATAAAGTTTAGTGGAAAAAAAAATAGGGGAACAAAATAAAAGCCACCACCCAAATTTTTTTTTTAAGTTACACATAAAAAAGAATTTAAAAGAAATGTTTTTAAAGTCCCCACCCATACATATATATTTTTTTAATTTAATATTTATTTACATTTAAACATTTTTATAACTTTTTTAAAAATAATTTCTCATGCTCAAAAAACTAACCTCAACTGCAGGTTAATCCTTAGTCTGACCCTGCCTGTCTCAACCTTGGAACTCTTTAAATAGTTTTCAGGTTCTTGGGAAATCTCTGCTAAAAAATATTTAATCTATAACTCAAGGTACGTAAGTGTGATCAGTCAGTTGAAGAATAATAGGGATCAATAGGTTTAAGAATAATTATTAGTGATCAAAAAAAAGTTGAAGAATAAGTAATATGGCATACCCAGCATAATTGACAACCCAGTCAGTCACCGCTCTCTGCAGGGAGAAGATCGGGAACTTAGCGATCAGCGGTATGTGATCGCTCAGTTCTTGATCTATAGAGCCGATTTGTGACAGCTGCAATGCCTCACGTCAGCTCCAATTATGGGGATGAGTGTATATCACTCTCCCCATAATTCTCCTTTAATTTGAACTATTTTAGCAACATAGTTGCTCTAAACGTGTGCGTATGCGATGCCACATACGACCCCGCATTGCATGAAATCGCATGTTACAATGTTAGGTGCACTGCAGTGCCATTATTTCTTAATTGCATCCCAACGCACGTGGCCATTGCATGTGTGTTGCATTGCATCGCATGGTAACCCTAAAAGCTGTGATACACTGCACGCAAAGTAGCACGGAGCAGTGGTGTGCAGACCTTCGCGTGCAGTATGTCATGTTCAC